ATAACCATATAATTAGCAATTCAACATCATTCATACGTTCCTGAATAAAAACTAAGCTACTTAATATGTGCATAATATCAATTCAAAATGGAAATAAAGTACAAGCTCAATCATAAATGTCAACGCTTATTCTCGACAAAGTATAAACCCTTGCTACTTTTCCTAGTTCCTCCTCTTCTAAAAGTTGGTTCTGTCATGCTTAACGACTTTTCAATCCCCATGGAAGTGGTTCTTGAAGTACTTTACTGGAATTTTAACAGAAAAAATGAATAATAAAATGTTTTCAAGATAAAATCTTGGCAAGACAAATAAAAACACTACTCATTCCATTGTAACATTTTTGTGTACACATCAATACTACTAAACATTTGGAACCCAGACATAATGAAATAGGAACATATTGAAATTTGTAAATTCTAAGTTATTTTCAATATTGCATTCTGAGTTATAGAGATCTGGATATTGCATTATTTCTTACACGGACCTCCATACTTAATATGGCAATAATTTTTTGTATTATTTGTTATATTTTAACACTAATTTATGTTTGGAAAAATCACAACAACAACAAAAAAAAAATTAAAAAAAAATAAAAAAAAAACCCCTAAAGTTTCACCCTTACAATAGCATATCTATACAATAGCATTTGAATTAAAACTGAAATTCTTGTTAAGTTAAGAATAGTTTCTACAATTTGAGATACAATTTTCTCTATATCTATATATATATATATATTGAAGTCAAGGAAAAAAATTGTAAATTTTCTATTTCTATTTTCATAGACATATTAGTAAACATGTGGTGTGCATAATTTGCACATAAATTAGAGTAAAGAGAAACAAGAACATAGAAACTACATGGTGGCACATCTTGGAAGACAAAATAAGCATGGAAGCAGCTATCTACATGCCAGATTGTCCAGCCATCTCGAAAAAGCATTAAAATACAAAGCTGAATGGAGTTCTAGTTCGCAAAAACACCAATAGAAAACACAAACACCTGGTTGTCTGGTTGTGCACTTGTTGTTCTTGGTTTCAGCACTTTCGAAAGATGTAGAGTTTTGCCGCTTTGCCGCTACACCCTTTGAAGACAACTCAGCATTTGCCCAACTCAACAGCAACCGATACACCGCCATAGGATTGAGATGTAATAGGCGACAGCAACAGTGACAATTGCGCACTTCCACAAATTCAAGTTGGGGGCTTCTCCGTGGACCTGTGGGTCGGTGAAAGCTGCTCTTCAAAGGGGCAAAATTTGTTTTTTGCCTCATAGTCGGTATGATTTGAATCCACACCTTGCAGGCAGGAGCTTTGGGAAATAGCCAAACAGCATAGCACCGGTTTGGGAAATTCTAGGAACCCACGTGCCTAGCCCAAAATCTGTGAGGAAAGAAGCCCATCATTACATTATGTTACACCACTCTTACGTTCTTTTTATATAGGTTATAGATTTCCCAAATCCATTTTGCTCTCTTCCTCTGAAGACCGATCTCCAACGGTATGAACTCTCTCTCTCTCTCAAAATCTCACTCTCTACTCTCTACTCGCTCGATTCTGTCTTTGGACTCTTCATCTCAACTTTGTTGTTCATTTGAAGATTTTGATCAATAGTTAATGAAGATTTGAAGATTTCGATCGATTGTTGATGAAGATTTGAAGATTTTGATCGATTTATAATCGGTAAGCCTGATTTCTATGAATGAATCCAACTCTCTCTCTCTCTCTCCATCTATCTCTCTATCTCTTCATTATATCTATTAGTTGTGTTTAATGATTTCAATAGTTTGTGATGTGGAGGTTTTAAGGAGGTTTTAGTTACCTACTCTTCATTTTTCTGTTGAATTTCAATATTCTATTGAATTTTATTTGTTCTTAAAAACAATAGAGGTGTTTGGACCTCTTAGAACAATCTATCTCAACTCTTACTGTTTCTACTATAATTTCAATTGTTAAAGCCATCTGTGTGTTGATCCAGAATTGTTGATTCAATTGCCGGTACACATACGTATTTTAGGTAGTTTCATGAATTAGGAACTGTGATGATTAAGGAAAGCTTGTAAAATCTAGGGCTATATGGAAGGGCAATTGTTTGAATTGGATTGGTTTTGAAAGTGTTTGGTTGCTTGAAATTATTGCTGAAATTTCTAGATCGCTAATGAGAGGTTTTCAAAACTGTTTTTATATGAATTTTCCAGAAGCAATGTATTGTCAGAACCTTAGGAAAAAACAGTGTGAAATAACAAAACTACTCCTCAAGATTTAATGGATCTCTACATCTCAAAATAATATTATTTGATTTGTTTATGTGATTTTATCAACAAATAAGAAAATACTATTCATTTTCCCCTCAAGAGCCTTCAATTCTGTATGTGATTTTTTATTTCTGTGTATGAGATTCGGTGATAGTAATAACAGGATTCAAAATTGATCGAGAAGAAAAATTATACAAATACGTTAGGTTTTATCAGATAAATTTGGTTATAATTTTTCGTTTCGTGCAAATTAATGAAGCTTAGTGTCTAACATTGTTAGGAAATTAGACATCAAAGTTTGCAAACTCATTATTTTTATTGATGTGTAAAAAAACAGTTATAGTATGATCATATGTACTTTTGAACGTGGGCATAGTTTCTCTACCTTATGTCGTAACTGTTATGAGACTTGCTGTTCTATCTTCCTTGTCTTCATTATTTCACTTGGTTTAATCTCTAAGTTGAGTTCGTCTATTGATAATTTTTAGACAATTAGCTACATAGCTAAGCGTATTGTTGGACATGGATCATTTGGAGTTATGTTCCAGGTAAAACTGCATGCCTTTTTACTGGGAAATAGTTGTGGTATATTCTATCTCATAAACAAAAAACTTTCAAGCTGTTTTTATGCTGATAATTTTTGTTTATTTAGGTAAAGTGCTTAGAGACAGGTGAAACTGTGGCCATAAAAAAGGTTCTTCAAGACAAGAGATATAAGAACAGAGAGTTGCAAACCATGCGTCTTCTTGACCATCCAAATGTCGTGTCCTTGAAGCATTGTTTCTTTTCTACAACTGAAAAGGATGAACTTTATCTTAATCTGGTACTTGAGTATGTTCCCGAAACCGTTCATCGTGTAATCAGGCACTTCAATAAGTTAAACCAACGGATGCCGCTGATATATGTGAAGCTGTATGCATATTAGGGGTGGTGTTAGACCCTCCACCTTCCATTTATGTCTCTATGGTGTTTATTTATCTCATCTGTCAACAATGTTTTTTATCATGACAATTTTGTGTAAATGTAAATTTTATGCCTTTTTTTTTCCACAGCACACATTTCCAGTTATAAACATTGCTTTCTTTCTCTCTACAATATTATAGGCTTACAGGCCCACATATTCAACATTATTCAAGTATTTGCACTTACAAAAAGAATCTTTTCAAAGCATCAAGTGTGATTTCAGAAAAAGTTAGGAGGTTTGGGTACTTTACCCCTGTTTGAGGTGATCTTTCAATATCATTCAACACTGTTGGGCAAACAAGAAGGGGGAAATGGCATGAATAATATTAAGAAAAATTCTTTGTGAGTTGTCTTGATTATTTATTTGTTTATTGGCTTTTGATAGAGACTTTTCATTCACTCTTATTTTAATGTTTCTCCTTTGGTGGTCTTTATATTTTTCTTTTCTTGAAAGAGAGTTGTGGTTTATGTTAATTTTTGTAGACCATAATATGTTGCTGATATTTGGCAGATCTTCAGGGCTTTGTCTTACATTCATCTCACTATTAGAGTTTGTCGCCGGGACATTAAGCCTCAAAATCTTTTGGTATGCAAAGATGTGTGTTTATTTTCTTGTTATTGATTTGATTAATTAGTTTTGTGTAATTCTCAGGCTGCACTTACTCAACTTGAGGAATTGCTAGGCTTGAAATTAAATGTAGTGATCCAGCTCTAGTTTTGTCTAATTTCCACTTAAGCAACTCCTGGCTTTGCAGGAGTCCTTTGGGGTTTAATTTAAGGCTGATGGATTGGGTGCTTCAGTAGCATCTCCGTCAGTTTTCTCATCTCTAGATGTACAGCTTAGGTACTTTGTTTTGAGTGATTTGCCGCCTTAAGATAACAATTAATAGAGAAACTATAGACATACTTATTTCAAATTTGTTGTTTACAACTTGATATAAGAAAGAAATGAGAGAAGATCACTTCTTAATTTTGAAGTGATGTTCAGGGGGGCCTTATGTCATTTTCTAAATAGCATACCTAATCTCATGTTGAAATTTGCAGCAAATTATGAATTAACTATGTCTGTGTTTTTCTGTTTGGAATTTTGTGTACATTAATGTACTTCTAAGTTATAAATATCAGTGCCCATGCATATTCCTCATATGCCATTTCTCGCACCACATCAATAACATTTGCAGCTAAGAACTTGATTTTTTTGGGCAGGTGAATCCTCATACCCACCAACTTAAACTATGCGATTTTAGAAGTGCTAAAGTTTTGGTATGTTATCGTTTATGTAATTATTTTTCTCTCCCTCCTGCTGGTAGTGCTATTTTTTTTTTTTTTTTTGGTTAGAATGCAACTTGATTACTGATTTCTGGCAGGTAAAATGAGTGCCCAATATTTCTTACATCTACTCTAGGTATTATCGAGCACCTGAGCTAATATTTGGAGCAACAGAGTATACTACAGCTATTGACATCTGATCTGCTGGTTGTGTTCTTGGGTTAGCTCCACAAATGTCTAAACTTGTGGTTATGTAAACTGGAAGATCAGTGGTAGGTGGCCTTGTTATTAAATGCATTTATTGTACACCTAATCATGCAGCAATTTAATTTGTAAATGTTTGATTGTGTACTTCCTTATAATTAGAACCACAAAATGGTTTTATTCTGCTTATGTATTTGTTATGTTCCTCGTTTTTGAGGGGCTTCTTCTCAATATCCTTTGGCACCCGTGATAGAGATAGGAGGTAGTTGGCTAAAATGTATTGACTGATTGCTTAAAACAGGTTCACAACTGAGAGCTTTTATCTCTATACTTCTTAAGCTTTTATCTCTAACATTTTATTGAAGCCCATAGAATGTCATTTTGCACACACTGTGGATTGCTCTTGTTCTGAAATTTAGTGATGTTTACACACACACAAAAATTGCTTATGCAAATTTGTTGGTGGTAACAATGAATATGTATATATGCATGTTTCTCCACAATTCTGTTTGCTTTCGGTTTCCTTTTCTGCACTAGTTTCTTTGATTTGTTATGGTATCTTGTAATTGTGTTGTCTGAGAAAGATTTCATCTGAAATTCAGATTGTTGTGTGGGTTTATGATATTCATATTGAGTTCAAACTGCAGGTTCTTAAAAGCAAGGAAGTTTGATATTGAAAAAGCAAAGCACATGTGGGCTGAAATGCTCCAATGGAGAAAAGATTTTTGTGTTGACACTATTACGGAGGTAATTACATTGGACATTTTGCCTTGGGTTTGTTGTGTGGGCTCTCCATATTGTTTTCTGCCATGGATTTGAATTAATCTATGCTTTACTCACTGATTTTTTTCATCAGGATTTTGAATTTAAAGAGTTGAATGAAGTTTTTAAGTATTACCCACATGGTAATCACAGTGTAGATAGGAAGGGAAGACCTGTCTATATTGAAAGATTGGGAAAAGTTGATCCAAACAAACTTAAGCAAGTTACCACAATGGATTGGTATATAAAATACCATGTTAGGAAATTTGGGAAAAGGTTTGCAATTAAGTTTCTTGCTTGTACTGTTGCTGCAAAAAGGCATATAGATTCAAGTACAACAATCTTAGATGTTCAAGGGATGGTATGTGGCCTCCTGTGTTTTCCTAATTTTGACATGCTAATAATGGTGTCTAAAAGAACTCTTTCATGATTTTTAGTTGTAATAACTTTCACATATGGCTTCAATTTTAAGACGCAAATGCAATGGCTTCAATTTTGAGTGCTTAATGTTGCACTTTTTTCTTTTTCTTTTTCTTTTTTTTTTTTTTTACGACGTAACAAGATGGTCGCCAAAAACCATGTTAGCATTTTTTTATTTTTTTGCGACGGAAAAATAGCGGTCGCCATAAGTAGTTTAGACGATCGCAAATAATTTGCGACCGTTACTTTGCCGTCACAAAAAGTATTTGTCACCCCCACATTCACGACCCTCATTTGCCATCGCATGGGCTGTCACAAAAGATCTTTTGCGCCTATATTTTTATTATTTGCGACAGCTTGTAACAGTCGCAAAAACTACTTTTTTTAGTAGCGGATTGAATAACTAAGAGCGGCTTGTATAAAGTAGTAAAGCAAAAATATATATATAAAAAAGAATGGAAAGAAGTTTCAAATGAAACAATTGAATGTTATCATTTTCTAGTTCAATGGGAAAGGATGAGGAACTAGCTTCCAATTACCTTTGTACCAAACTCTAGTTGCCCAATCAGTCACACAGAGACATTGACATCACAAAGAAGTGAACCTTCTTGCATATTGCCATTGCTCACACCCAAAAATCAAACCAACCTCTGCAATTCTGCTGCATACTCCACAGCTTCAATACCAATTATCATATCAAGTTTGGAAACAAGCTCAAGCAAAGGCAGCCTTGCCTTATTCCAATCAACTGCACTTACGAACCAACCAACAGTGTCAACAAGCCTATAATATCTGTTAGAAAAGTGACCAGACAGTTCCAGGAGAAGACGTAAAACAATAAATCCATAAACCAACAAATCAGAATACATAATCAGTAGTTACGAACTGCATGTCAAAATGAAAGCGATCACCAATGGAACTAGTATGCCCCTAAGATCAACTACACCCATAAATCAAAGCATAAAGCATAAAGAATCACAAAGTAAACAATACATTCAGGACAAATTAATAAACATAATTCCATTGAGATCACATGAATAATTCCCATTTCCGGTGTAAAGCACCCTTTCCATATCCTCTTCCATATGAACCCTGGTAACGCCAAACTTCCTACGCCCACCACCAAACACAATTAGATGATCCAAATCAGCGAAACCCCCCAGTTGCAATTGGGACATCAGAGTGAGATATCTGATAGCCTTTTGGAAGGTCCTAGTAAAAGTATTGTTTCACATTAAACTTTGAATTCAAGGACAATATTTACAGTTGAGTACAAGGCCCATTTTTACCGCGAATTCAATGACCTTTGAGACTCATAATTGTAAGGGCAACTGCAAAAGTCCTTGGTGAGAGTAGAGAGAGCTGAACATAAGTCTCCATACCTATGATTGCCTCATAACCTTTTGAAACTTTATCAAGTCTATTGGAATGGGTCAGTGTTGAAACTTTCAAACTGTGATTTTGCTTTTCTTTTTGTTGGAGTTTGGGTTTGTGTACTAATTCTTTCCATTTAGCAATTAAAAAGACTAAGTTTTCTTAAAATTAACCCAGATGGGTATAGCAAAAAGGGGCAGGTTTTGAATCCCTCTAAAGAATGTCAAATCCATGGTTAATTACTTGGTTATTCAGTCCAATTTAAATATCAAGCAATGAAAAGGTTCTGTCTACAAAGCATAAAAACCAAAGGTACTCATAAGCAATAGGAGTGAATATTTATACATGTAACATAAAAATCATCATAAACAGAAAACATACCCCCAAAAAAAACAAAAAATTCTTTAATTTTGAAGTAAAATTGATTACAAGAAGTGAAAATATGAATTAACCAATCATACAGCAAATGACAAACTTTAATTAGAGAGTTGGAAAGGAGTAATTTTGGAGGGTACCCAGAAAGAGATTCTCTGTTCTAGCAACGCATGAGAGAGGGAAAAGACTAAACTTGTGAGCCAATTTAAATATATCATCAATTAAAATAAGAAAAAAAAGAAGGAGAAAGGTGGTCGTGCCGGAGTGGTTATCGGGCATGACTAGAAATCATGTGGGCTCTGCCCGCGCAGGTTCGAATCCTGCCGACCACGCTTTTTTTCCCAAAATTTTGTAAATTATTATTTTCTTTTGAATTTTGGAAAAATATTATTAAGTTTAACATAAATTAAACTAGGATCGCCAATTATTTTAATTCGCATAACAGTTTGCACCCTTTTTATCCGTCTTTAATTTACTTTTATGAATAAATAATAATATATGTTTTTTTTTTTTTACATTGAAATGTATATTTTTATTTTTTTTAAGGACACTTGTCAATCTCCTATTGTATACACGTAAAAAAAAAGTTAACGAAAATTTGGATGAAATAATCAAACTGAAATTAGACTTAAAATATAAAAACTAAATTATTTAAATTGAAATAATAGAAATTAAATTTAAATTTAAATTTAAATCAAACTTGAAAAATGAAAAAGTATTAATTTATGACCAATGCTAGGATCAAAAAAATGAATAATATTATATATACCAATTAATGTACTAGCTAGTATACTAACAGATGATGTGGAATAATTTTAGAGCTTTTGAGTATTTATAATTTGTATAATAGGTGAGATCAGTAATAATGGCATAACACTAGTTAATATATTAATGTGTATATTAATTGGTACATGTAACACCGTCGTAAAAAAAAAAATTACTACATAGGTAGGCTCACAAAATAAACAGATGATGTAGGCATTGGTGTCGAAATGACAATGTGAAAGCAACTTTTGGTATATATAATTCTTTGTTAATCGAAGGAAATTATTTTATAATATGTAAAGAATTATATTCAAATAATCATAATTCAATAACTAACCTAATAAAGAGCCTCCCTGATGTGAAATAAATAACAAACGCAATAGCCAACCAAACTAAAATAGAGCATTGTAATGAGGAGGGGGATACAACAAAACCATCCCATAATAAGGGAGAAACAAATATTTTTTTCATAAGATTGATTGTGTGATCTCCAAAATAGAAGTATTACAGTATAAAAATATGATAATTTGATAATATTACACTAACAATGTAAATGTTCTTTTTTATAATTTTAATATAAATGGCATTTGTTAATCTCGTTATGAAAGAAATATAGATAAAAACTCTCGTCAGATTTTGATATTACTAATTTTAACATTGAGGATAGATGAATTTAGTAAAACTATTGTTGTTACTAAAGAGGTTTTTAGTTTAAGGTCCCTGATATTAAAATTTTATAAAATGAAAGATATGTAATATTTTCATAATAGTTGAGATCCTTTAACATTTTCACAAAGAAATTTCGACAAAAAAATTTCAGCATAAAAAAATTTCGGCTCGTCACAGAGAAATTTTCTTTGCGACGAGCTGAAATTTCTTTAATAATATTATTAAGGAAACTTGACTAATAAGAAAAAAACATATTGGACATCTCCTACAATCAAAAGTTAGAAAGGGATGTTTCACTAATTTTCTCATTACTAAATTCCAAACCCACAATGATGATTTAAATCATTAATATCATAAAACATTGAAGTAAAAATTGTTTATGAAAAATAATAATCTTTATCAAATATCAATTTTGTTTTATAAAATTAAGTTTAAACTTATAGTTACTTTCCATTAAAAAATAATAATAATAAAATAAACATTTCTTTTTTCATTAGTAATCTAGTGACAGCCGATTAAATTATTTTTTTGCACAACTCATCTATATTATTGGGCCTATGAGAATGGTTTGGATCATTATTACGAGTCAACAGATAGACTTACAAAATATAAATGATAACTGTATGGAAATGAGCGAAGGAGAACATACAATTAAAGTTAATTAAACAAATCAAAGAATTATTAATAGAAACATTGAACATCAAATTCGCTGTAGCACATTTGGAATGATTATCAATGTATCATCCGGGTTCAACTCCCGGCAGCGGAATTTAAATTTTTTTTTTTTTTTTTTTGGTTTTTTGTGATCTTGTTAGTTAAGTGTATATTTTTCAAATATCAAAAATATTTTGTGGACCATTGTTGCTGTAATATGAAAGAAATAATTAAATTTTTATAAGATTTAACTCTCTGATTTCCCAAATATAGGTGTTACAATATAAAAATATCATAACTTGATAACATTAATCTAGCTGTATAAATGTTATGTTTATAATATTTAACAAAATTTTTAATATAAATATCATTTGTTAATCTCGTCATGAAAAAAGTCAGATATAAACTCTCGTCAAATCTAATTAATAAAAGAAAATGTTAGTGTGATGTCCCGAGTCTTTTTAAAACAATTTGAATATATTAATCTATAATTTCTGTTTCCTTTAGTTCTCTTCGCCACTATTGAGACCTTTGAATCTCGTGTTGTTTCTTATTCTTTCCTTGTGATTTGATTGTTCATATACATTTTAGTGTGTTCCGAGATGTCATTTTGTATCCTTCGGTGTTGGAGTGAATCCGGGAGTGGTGGGAATGTTTTAAGGTTATTTTGTCTCACTTTTAAGTTAAGACCGCTTGAGCGGTTCTTTCGTCGCTCGAGTGGTAATATTGATCTTCTAATATCTAATTTGTAGTCTGAACTTCTGAGAGTTTGTATTTTTCACTCTAGCGAAGACTTCGTCGCTCGAGCGATCTTTTGCAAGGAGAAGAGAGATTCTTGGAGTTTGAATTGTTCCCTCAAGCACAGATTTGGTTGCTTGAGTGGTCTGTCCACAGTCTGCTCCGAAAAATATGTCCAATCACTTAAAAATTTGACCCTTGCACCCTTTTCTTTCACTTTTCACTTCGCTCCCTCTCTCTTTACATTTCACTTTTCCCTTTTCTCTCTAAAAAAAACCTTCTACCCACCTCATTTATTTCTTTGATCTACCCAAATCCATTGGGTTTTTGACCCTAATGCCTTCATTATTATTGAAAAGCTTATCAAGAGTAACATTGTGTGCGGTGGAGATCAAGTTTTATGAACTTGTAAAACTCTTAGAAGTACCTTGTGAGGAGATTTTATGAAAAATGAAAGAAAATTTTTTTTGGATCAAACCCTAGTTTGGAAGAAATTTGGAAAAAAAAAAAACAAAA